CAGCTTCTGAGTCATAGCTGAACACTGAGTGATCAACCTGGCATTGCTTCATTCCAAAACTCTTCACCACTTCGTTAAACTTCCCGAACCAAGCACGTGGCGATTGTTTCAACCCATAAATTGCCTTCTTCAGTCTGCGCACCTTACCATCCTCCCCTTGAGCAACAAACCCAGGTGGTTGCTCCATATATACCTCCTCCACCAAATCACCATGGAGGAAGGCATTTTTTATGTCAAGCTGAAACAGAGGCCAATCATACATAACTGCCAGGGAAATTAGTACACAAACAGAGCCAATCTTAGCCACCGGAGAGAATGTCTCCATGTAGTCCACTCCATACAACTGCGAGTAACCTTTAGCAACAAGTCTGGCCTTCAGACGCTCCACACTACCACCTGGCAAGTATTTCAAAGTATACACCCATTTACAGCCCACAACATGCTTACCAGGTGGGAGAGTAGCAAGTTCCCATGTTTGAGTATGTTGAAGAGCAGAAAATTCCTCCTCCATTGCCTGCCGCCATCCAGGTGAACTAAGAGCTTCTTGGACATTGTTAGGTATGGAAATAGAGGACAAAAGTGTGAACTAAGAGCTTCTTGGACATTGTTAGGTATGGAAATAGAGGACAAAAGTGAAACAAACTGGCGATGTGAGGTAGAAAGACGAGATAATGAAACAAAATTGGAAATGGGATAGAGGGTAGAATTGCGTTTACCTTTCCGTAAGGCAATGGGTGGGTCAAGGTCTGAAGGTTCAGCAATAGGAGCCATGAGAGGATCCGCAGATGAGGTAGAAGCTGGAGGAGGGGTCGGTGTCATTCGACGTGTATACACTTGCCGGACCGGTGGTCGTTCGGTGGTGATCTGCACTGGATGAGGTAATGAGTCTACTCCAACAACAGCATTTGGAACTAGATCACTGACAGAAAGAGGAAGAAGAAGTAAGGGTGGAGACGAAGGTGCTTCAGGTCTTGAGAAGAAGGGGACAGACTCAAAAAAGGTGACATCAGGGCAGACATAGCACTTTCGGGTAATGGGATTATAACACTTGTACCCTTTTTGAGTCCGAGAGTAGCCAAGGAAGACACATTTAATTGAGCGTGCATCTAGCTTG